GTCCCTAGCCAGTAATGTTCCCTCAGGGCAGACGGACGAAAGGATGGAGGGAGGGAGGAAAGAGGGAGGTGAAGGGAGAGACGGCAGTAAAGGGGACAAAGTACAGGAAGAAAATGTATACCTACCTTTGCAAACACACATTATTACACGCATTCTTTAACTCAGCAACAAATTTAACTACAAATCTTGACCATTTCCAACACCTTATTATAAGTGTTTATATTGATTTTCTACCTCTTCTCCCTTAGTTTCCATTTATATCAGACGACGTGTAAACACTTGAAAGTAGAGGTCTGCATGATGTATTGTGGTGAATATCGAGTCTGTGTGTCACTTGTTGTACAAGTTGTAACATTCACCATTTTTTTTATTTAATTAAACAATTAACTGAGAAAAGAATTGGCAGATGAATTAATGTAGTTAGTTGTCTGTTTAGCAGTGCACGGTCAGGGTATGCACCATCAACAAACCCCATTGTTGATGGTGCATGCGTTCAAAGAAAGATATTGAAAGCAGTGCCACTGTTTCCATTGGCGTTTCATCAAATGCACCACTAAGGCAGGGTTTTCAAAACAGTCACTGCTCCCAAATGCACTACTACACTATTTAAACTATGACAACTAAATGTTGACTGTTAAGGTTTGCATATCTTAGTTTCTGGTTTCAAGTGTCTTCAAGTTTATTTTCATATTGCACTGAAATGAACTGAAACTAATGGAGGCCTGAACAGTGGGAAATCTTAGAATCATTGTCATTGATGTGTGGCTGAAAGGCTAAACTATGCAAAGCCACAGTCATGGTTCCAACTCCTGACCCCAGGATGAACCTCACCCCAGAGTCCCTAAACATAACCCCACTGACAACCAGCTGAAATCAACACACACAAATGATTTCCATGTGTGTGTCTTCTTCCTGTACAGGTCCTTTTCATACACACCTGTGAAAATCTGCCTGACTCTTGTTATGCAAAGCATGCAAAGCATTTGATATGCATTCGCCCACAAGTCTCCCTGTGTGTTTTGTCTGCAGATCTTACTCTGTGCATTTAAGCTTCAACATTTCTCTCCCTAAGCAAGACAAAGACAACAAAAGTGTGTGTGTGTGTGTGTGTGTGTGTGTGTGTGTGTGTGTGTTAGTGGTGAGGTGTGTGCTAATGGACATCTAAATGCTGCTGATGTTACGTTGAATAGTTTAAGGGCCCTCAGGTCCCCTTAGACCAATATTGGGAGAGAAAAAGTGAGGGAGAGAATGTGACTTCTGCAAATCGCTTTGACAAGGACACCCGTGCCTCGAGCGGCGTCCTCTTTCGCCTCATCGAACACACACAAACACACGCACACACACACGCTGCGACATCCACACCTCAGCAGAATCGTGAGGTGACTGTTGCGCTCTGAACAGCTGACTTGGTAGAGGACGTTTGTGTGAGTGTGTGTGTGTGTGTTGTGCTGAATCCAGTTTTGACACAGTTTCGAAAGATAACTGAGAAACAGTTTGTTAATGAAGTCTTTTTTTAAATGTGTGTTGGTTAAACGAAACTTGTTACAACTGTACTGAAAAGTTTTTTTTGTTTTTTTTAATTCAAATCAATCACATACTGACTTACTGAAGGCAAACTAACATTTTATACAGAATTCCAACAAATGAAGACCTTGTATTGAGGAAAATATTGTGTGTGTGTGTGTATTTTACAAAAAGTTTAGAAGGGTTTAGGGTAATTTATGCAAGCATGTAATCCTTTAGTTAAAGTTAAACTTTTCAAAACTGGAGTTAGATTTTGACATAGGCTGCATCATTCAAAAAACTTGACTTGATTTGAGAGGGTTTGCAGTGAACAAACACGACAATATATGTTCTCAGTCTTGCTTGTCATTGTTATAATTTACATTGTTGAGTTGAACAACTCTGGGCTTCCCTCCAAACTGATCATTATCTGCCTTTATATCAACCAAGTTCACACATTTGAAAGCCCTCCCTCTGGCTCGTCTTACCTCAAAGTCGTTGGCCTTGTTGTAGTGCATGTTGAGCGCCCTGAAGAGCTCGGCATCACGGCCTACCGCCAGTTCCTCTGCAGCGGTCACGCCCTCATTGATGGCCTGGCGGGCGAACTTCTCCATCTGGATGTAGTAGAACTCCCTGAAGTTGCTGAACCACTTGATCAGCTGGGAGGTGATGCAGCGATTGAACTGTAGAGGAAGAAAATTAAATAACATTTTGTTAGATAAATAAATTCCACATTGAGTTTAATTTTAGCAATTGTAAACATGACTTTAATGAATGTAGGAAGAGAAGGAATTATTGAGATAGATAGCGACTGTAAGGAAAAACAATACATGTCTTATGTGTAGGTTCTGGTGTATTAAGGCTGCTGTGGACTGCCACAGGTTATTGAATATCAATTCAGTTATTCATTGGATAAAAAGCCGTTTCACAAGTTTGAAGGACTGTAACAGATTTTAATGATTTATGAGGGTTGTAACAGACTTCAAACATATCTTTAAATGTTGTAGATTTGTGAATGTTGCTTCCTGTTTGATGGTGCTGTAGTTTTATAATAGCACAGCCTGTTTGCCTTGGTACTTATTTGCATGGTGGAATGTAATAAAACTTGACTTGAAATGGACCTCTGTATGAGAGCTTAGCTTGGATTATGGCACAACATCTACATCTACTTATAACTTTTCTTTAAAGCATTACCGTACTTATTTACTCCCTGTAGAAAGTTCATTGACACTACTAGTAACATTACTTTTGCGCTACAACATTGCCTGAGATGCTTGGTCACATAATATGAACTGCATTTGACGAGCCAAACTCACTCAAACAAGCTAACTCGAGTTGCTTGCACAGCAAACTATGGCTTTACAGTAGATTAGTCCATGGTATTTGACGTGTCTATCACTAAATCAGTGGGTATACCTCATGAGGAGCAGTCTCTCAAATCGTTTGTTAGGCAGGCTGTTCCTCCTCAGCACAGGACTGCCCAGGCTGACGAGCCTGTCCATGGGCACTCTAGACTGTCTCTGTATCTCCATCTCTGACTTTAAATATTCAATATTCGACTTCGGTGTCGGAGTTGAAGGAAGTTGTATCCTCCTCTTGCGCCATTGTTGTGCAAAAGTGCATAAAAAGATTTTCTTCTATCCACCCATTATGCAGATAATTGTATGTAACCATATGTGTACCAACACAGGAATTGACTCATCTTTGTATAATTCATGCAGTTCTCTTGTAAACCTCTAGCAGCTCTGAGCTTTACTTGTATGAATAAGAAGAAACAATGGAAATGTTTTTACACATGAGTTCTTTATATTAATCAAACAAGCAACTTTAAATGCAGGTCACTGAGACGAACAAAAAGGAGGTTTGCTTTTTATATTTCTTTTGAGAATTATTTAGTCAAGGTCAAATGTGTTAATTTTTTTGGTTTGTTTACAGCAGATTTCACTCCAGTAAATGTCACTTACTGCTGGGATGAATGATTAAATTTTGATTATTTTCTACACAGTGGGAATATCCTACGTCAAGATTAAATAGGCAATATAAACAGGAGAAATATTGTGATTTAGTTGCATTTTCTTGTGTGTGTGTGTGTCCTGTTTGTACATAATGCCATGTGTGTAAATCACTCCAATTAACCTTTTTTAACCAACACCACAGCACTTAAAATTTTTTTCAACCCCCTCATTAGCCGACTAAAACAGTCTACACCTTTGCAGGGCCCGTCGCTTGAAAAAAAAAAATTTAAAGGAATCGGCCCCTAGAAACCTTCTAATCAAACAAGAATGACCCAAATATTATCTTATTGTTATGCCATCATGGGCTTTCAGAACGAGCCAAACCAACATTAAACAACTCTCTTCAAACACTGCTCCAGCCCTGCAGGCCTCAACAGTACACTGCAAATAATGTCCTCCAAAACAGGACATCTAAATAATTTTTTAGCCTCTTTTCTACATTGTTTGGATTGAGTTATGTGTATAAATATACGTGACCAAAAAGAATTCAGTCAATTCAGAGTTAGTAAATCATGTCATCTAGAATACACACAGTAAGTATTTGTGTGATACCTACTTGCCCTTTTGCATTTTCATCTCTTCCTCATAAGAAACAAAACATGCAGAAGAAAAAAAAACACGATGACAGCCCTGTGTGTGTGTGTGTTGTTGTGTGGTGTGTGTGTTGTGTGCTGTGTGTGTGTGTTGTGTGTGTGTGTGGTGTTGTGTGTTGTGGTGATGTGGGTGTGTTGTGTGTGGTGTGTGCTGTGTGTGTTGTCGTGTGTTCGGTGAGGGGAAAAAACGGCTTTTTGTGTACGGAGATTAAGCTCCCCGGTATTGTTTCAAGACACCTTGCTCAACCAGGCAAACAAGGGAATGAGCGAGAGAGATAGGGGGAAAGAGAGAGAGAGAGGGAGCAGAGAACTGAATGGCGGGGCAGCATGGGAAAAAGAATGCAAGTGAGGGAGAGAGAGAGAAGCAGAGATGAAGAGAGGGCAAAGAGATATTCTTTTCAGGC